CATGCATGTCCACACATTATGAGAGAGAGTAAAATTGTGTATCAAAACAATGCCCTTCAGAAGATTAGTCCAAGCTAATCAAATTATTTAATATTAAATAAGCAATGTTATTTTGTTGCAAATTCTGTTAGCGAAGTTAAAAGAGGATGATGTGGTGCTTGCTTAATTTCATTGAAGCATGTGGAGTCCTCGCTCTGAGATTGGCTGTTCATTTGAAGCATCATGCACATTTGTTTAGACTGAAGTTTTCCTGTGGAGAATCTGGAAGAGTCAAGATTCATTTTCCCTCTTTAATGACAGAGAAAGATTGTATGGATTTGGTTCGCACGCACAGAGTTTTATGTGCGAAACATTCTGAACTGATTCTCATGACGTATTAAGCCATCTCATAGTTGGCTTCATGTGTCATCCAAACTCAGCTTAGAGTGTAGTTAAAGGATATGTCTTAAATTGTATCTATGATTTGGTTTTAATTTGCTTACTTCAAGCATAGTCAGCATGTCCAAATTTGGATCAGTGGTTACTCTATAATGAAATAGTTCTCCTTCTCTAAGAAATATGGCCTTGATATCACTGTTTCTGTGCTTTCTTTCATGCTATGAAGCTATATAGGGCATATTTTTTTAATACCCACACCCACATACACCGAGAGGCTATAAATCCTGTAAGAATAAATGGCTCCTACTAGAAAAAAATATCTTGAATACTGGCTGCAGAGAAACCATTATCAGGAAAGGTTTAATAACTTTTATATATAACTTTAATAACTCTGGTTCTTCCAAGCCCTGGAGATCAGCTAAGAAAATTATTTTTTCTAGGTGGAAGAAAGTAGATGTTAAAGAGTGTATTCAAGAGGTGTGCTCTCTGTTGATATTTGAGATGTCCTTACAGTGGCGAAATGAGAAGATAGAGCATTGCATTCTGAAGAGTCTAGATTTCATATCACGTTAAAAGGCTGAGCTAGCTTCATATTAGTATTCCTCACTGGGACTTATTATATGCATCATTTTCCTTTCTGTTCTTTTTCAATTTATTATTACCATTTATATTGTATTGTACTATCATTATTGTATTTTTTAAATTTGTGTCTATTGCACTTATAAAATTTAAAAAATGAAAAGGCATTTGTATAGAAGTGCTGTTAATGAAGAAAACTTGATTTACAGATATCTCTAATAAAATTAATATTAGCATTATCACCTGAAGGAGGGCTGGTTGTAGCACTAGTCGGAATGAAACGGCTGCTTCAGTGTCATGAAAGGGCAGCAAATGTTCAGCTAATTTGCTTGTAGGTTCTATGTTTATAGTCTTGGGGTGGGAGAGAAGCTCCCTTTCCTGCTCTAGGAACCAAAATATCTTGGTTGGCCAGGGATAAGTGTCCCTTGACTTGCGGAATGAAGGGGGCACCATTTGTGACTTTACCTGCAAGGAGCAGAATGTTTGAGCTGGACCTGACATGAAATGCTATGTCTGGCATGCAAATTCAGTTCCCATTTTGAGGCTCATTAAAAAGTTTTGAAGCTCATTAATGAGTTTTTGCCCTCATTACTGTTTTGGGACAACAGCTGTTATGAAGCAGATGGCATTCAAACCGAGTGAAGAGAGAGAAAGAAAAAAGAAGGCTGTAGATCAGATTGTCAAGGAAACAGCTAAAGTGTTACTTTAGAGCCAGCCTCTGAATCCCTCATGCAGGAAGATTTTATCTTCAGTTATGATGGCTAAATTAAAACTGTTAGGAAGGTGGGAAAACTGAGAAAGAGAAGCATTGTGGACTGCACCAATCGTTGCAGTTTTGTTGTTGTTGTGTTGTTTTTTTAAACTATATTCTCTCCTCACCAATGTTAAGAAGGTACATCTTCGTGCCCTGTATATATTGCCTGCAGAGATCTGATAACAAGCAGAGGTTCAACATCTATCTCTCTGGGATATTTGAATCTGGATTTTACCATTGATCAGAGTGTTAGAGTCAACAGCCTATAAGGCCGTTTCTGACTCTGATTCTAGCTTTTCAACTGGCATTTCCAGTCATATTTCAATTAGCACTTAATTTCATCATATTATAGTCATTTCTAATTTCTTGATTTTCTTTTCCTTTTATTATGTTCTGTTGATTTCTTGTTTTGGATGACAGGGTTGTTAAATGTGTGAGTAGGACCACGATGTATATTTCTGTAGTTTTAGAAATCTAGTTTTGCTAGGCACATTATCTATTATTACCACTATACTACTACAACTTCCCTGCTGTTCTTGAAGGAGGAGACCTCCAACTGTAATTTCAGATCTTGCCAGTAATAGTGAGATCTCCTATTGTGCAACAGGGTAAATCAATTTCTTCCATTTTTTTCTCAGTAGTATATCTTGCAGGTTTTCACATTACAATATCTTAATTTTATTTTTCTTCTAGTGCCAACAACATGCCAAAGCAGGTAGAAGTACGAATGCATGAAAGCCATATGAGTCCAGTGGAACTTCAGCCGAAGCACCTCTTTGTACGACTCTGGCTTTCACTCAGAAAAAATCTGCTCCTTTCACTTACTGTATTTGGTAAGTAAACCTGAGAAAGAATGTATTGGCTTAATTAATTTGTGGATTAATATACCATATTCTGGTATCTTAAGAAGTCTCCCTATCTGACCTCCACTCCTCCTTTTTCCCTTTTTCTTCACTATGCTTAGAACTCTACTCAAAACACTTGTGATGCCTCTCATATTCCAGCCCCATTAACAAAGGAGCACCTTTGTATTTCTCCAAAGGCAAAGAAACTTGTCGCATTCCAAATGTGTTGAATATGTTCATGGACAGGGCCAAGTGGTGATTATGGGAGTTGTAATGTGTGTCTCATTCATTCATTTATTGTGGATGCTTTTAGGCTACTTCAGTCATCTGACTCTTAGCAGCTTACAACAAATACATAACATTACAGTAACTGGCAAAGTGATTGTTTCAAGCTAATTTTATTTAACCAAAATCTGATCTTGTTGTGGATTTGCTGATTGGCCAATGGCCATATTACAACATGTTGTTGTAATCAGCAAATGCAGTAAATTAATATACCAAAATATAAATGCTTTCAAGATAAATCATGTTACAGTGATAAAAGGACAACTCCTTATATCATCAAAACAGCTAGATTCATCCCATGCTCAGGTACCTCTCCCATTCTCACCTTAGTCCCCAAAAGGACATTGGAAAAGGCAAGTTCTTAAAAGCTTCATCAGTATAAAAGTAATGATGCAGTTCTTATATGTAGTAGAAGAATGTTCCGTAGGAGAGGAGCTCCTAGAAAAAATAATTGCCTTACCACATCTCATGAAAGTGAGGATTCTCTGCAGGCACTGTATAATCATGCCTTGGGGAGGTAGATTCTATTTAGAGAAGGCAATCTCACCAATAGTCAGGCCCTGTGCTATGTAGTTTGAGTTAGACTGCTCTCAAAATGCCAGGTTCTGCAATCCAATTTGTTTACAGCTCCCCAAATTACCTTCCAAAGTTTAGAATAGGAGAGCAAGATTCAGCATGGTTCCGAGGTCACTGCTCAATATAATCAGGACAAAAAATGGGAGGAAAGCAATGACACTGGGAGAGTATATTTGCAGGACTGTTTATTACCAGTCAGTTGGGTATACCAACTGCACCCTTTCTTGGGAAGAAACAAATTAGCTACTGCCACTCACACATTAGTAACCTCATGCTTAGAGTACTAGGCAAAACTACCCTTGTGCTGGATCTGGAAGCTGCAGCTGATGCAGAATACAATGGCAAGGTTGCTGAACTGAGCACCTGGCCAAATAGATGTTACATCTCTGTTGGAACAACTACATTGGTTGCCAATTAGCTATGTGCCATGTTCAGGGTTTAGCTTAGCACCTAGTACTCTAAGTGTGAGGTTACTAGTGTGTGAGTGGCAGTAGCTAATTTATTTCTTCCCAAGAAAGGGTGCAGTTATTATACCCAACTGAGTCTGGTAATAAACCTTAAACAATCTGCGACCAGAATATCCAATTTACATATTACAATATTACAGACCTGGTTGATCACTCAGATCTTTAGGGAAAGTCCTACTGCATGTGCCTAGAGCCACAGACTGCCACCTTGCAGTTACTTAGGATTTTTTAAATTATTATTAGAATGTATACTTGATAACCCATTGTTAACGTCTTGTTGGCATATGTTGAAGACCCAGCTTCTACATAGGAATATTGGCAGAATGTTTTTTGCTTATACTTCCCCCCCTCTTTTTTATTGTATCTTTAATTTTTAATATATTGCTTTTCATTGTATATTTTCTGTTTTGCAAACCATGTGTATGTGTGAGTGTGGTTTGTATGTATGTACAGTATATGTGTGTGTGTGTGGTATGTATGTGTGTATATGTGTGTGTGTGTACACAAACACATATACACAGGTAGTCCTCATTTAGGAACCACAATTGGTTCCAGCAAAATGGTTGCTAAGCGACATGGTCACTAAGGAAGCCACATGACTGAGAGAGAGAGGGAAAGAGAGAGAGAAATGCTGTGAAGGTTGCTGGTTGCAATGGTTAAGCTCTCTCATGCAGCAACACCAGCATTACTGTTACTCCAGCGTGCGTTGTTAGGCACAGAAATTTGGTTGGAAAATTATTATTTTTTTACTACAGGTAGTCCTTGTTTAACAACCACTCATTCAGCAACCATTCAAAGTTACAATGGCACTGAACGAGTGGTACTTATGACCAGTCCTCGAAGTTCCAGCTATCCCAGCACACCCATAGTCACATGTTCATGATGTGGGTGCTTGGCAACCAGCTTGCACTTAATGATGGTTGCAGTGTCCTGCAGTCATGTGATTGCTATTTGCAACCTTCCCTGCTGGCTTCCCAGGAAATGTCGCAAGTCATTCTGGTAAGTCACTCGCACCCTCCCCTGCCCAGCAGCAGGCACACCTGGCTGCGCCTTGCAGACCACTCACACACCCTCCCCTCAGCAGCAGCTGGCCTGCTGCATTTGTACCACACCTCGTGGGCTACTTGCACACCTTCCCTTCCCTACCCAGCCACAGCCACCCCTGGCCCCACCACGCTCACGCTGCACCTCACCTGCCTGCTGGCCTGCTTGCAAGCTGCCTGGGACTCATATAATGACCAACGATCCTCATTTTATGACAGCAACAGGGAGTGCTGGGATTGCTGTCGCTAAGCAATGCGGTCACATGATGTCGCGCTTTATGACCGCATCGCTTAGTGATGAAAATTCCAGTCCCAATTACCATAATTAACCAAGGACTACCTGTACCGTTTACTACTGTTTATTACCATCGTATTTGCAAATGATGACTAGCTGAGGCAGTTGCTAAATGAGGACTACTCGTACTGTATATAGATATAAATTGCAACAACATCAACAGCATACAGTTGTTCTGAAGATATGATCATAAATGACCCAAAATATAAATTATCACTATATAAATCACACTGTCAGCCATCAAATTTCATGAAGGTGCCAAGATCCATTACTTAGTTACTTAATTACTTTATTTATTTATTCAATGTATGTAGCAGCTCACTCAGCACACGATTCAGGATCAGATCACAACAATAAATTCCCTAAAACCACACAATAGAAAAGCATAAAAACAGAAACAGAGTCATATAAATATACATCACATTAGCAGAGGCTTCCTGCTTTTTCCCAGACACGTCAGCCGCTCCCTAAACATCAAAGACTACCTGGTTAATCTTCAAAAGGTAGAGTAATGGTCTGGATTGGGATGAGAGCTGGACACAAACTATTTTTCAAAATTCAGCACCAAATTTGGGACTGGAGCAATTGGGTGGATGATTTCTCCAAATTTCTTCAGGGGAAGGGGAAATTCTCCAATAATTTCTGAAGGGCAGGGCTCCTCCTCAGAAGTGAGAGTAGCATCACATGGGGGGGGAAAGGCTCAGTGGAAGGAACTTCTTTGGGATCTCTTTGGAATTTGTTTAAAGCATGAAATCCATAGGAGTCTGATAGCACCTTTTCAGACGAGGATATTTTATTAAAGGACATAGGATTTCATGAATTGTAGCTGATTAAAGCTTAATTCTTTTAATAAAATGTGTTCATCTGAAAAGATGCTACCAGACTTCTTTGGATTTTTGGCTACCATAGATTAACATGGCTCTCTCAGCCCAATGTCTACAATTACAAGTAGCAGGGACACTGCAGAATGCTGCAGGGATGATAATCCAATGAAGGAGAAGGATGTTCATACACACCCCTTGGCTATATTGTAACAAGAACATCAGCCATGAAAATTTCTCCAAAATTATCTCCTCTTTTGAGAAAACTTCTGAAGCAAATGCTCTTTCTTCCAACTGAATGAGAATTGCCAGGAAAAAAAAAAAACGCAGGAGAATTTCTGTGCCTGAAACTAATTTAAATCTTTGTGTCCTGATTTTGATTTCAAAGGATCATGCAGTCTAGCTTTCCCTCCTGAGGTGCCTTCCAGATATGTTGGGACCACAACTCCCAGAATTTCCTGCTGGCTATGAATTCCAGCTGTTCTTATCCCCAAACTTCTGGAAAGTAAGATATTGGAGAACCATCCACAGTGCAGTAATCTATGTTCAATAGCTTCTGTTTGAATGAAATATCTATCAATTCATAAGAAAAAAAAAGTCATGTATTTAATTTACTAGCACTGTGAAGGAAAAGAAAAGGAGGAAAGTTAGATGAGGAAGTGGAGACTCATGACCCATGTGTTTCCTGCCAAATGCTGATGCTTCTTAGCTCTCTCCTTTGCTGTGCGCTAGAGACTAGACCAAGCGATACAGTGATCTACTTTTCTCAGTTGCCTTCTGGGTATAGCAGCTTCCAAATATGGAATGGTTTTGACATTTTAGTATAGTTCATTGGCTTCATGCCCAGACTTACTAAAAAAAAAAAAATTACAGTACTGTGAGACGAAGAGCCAAATGCGTAGCCTTCACAAAGTCTGTCTTTATTCACTTCTGTGTGAATGGATAGCTGCACTGTTTGTTGAAAAAGCTATGCAAATACTTTTAATGTCTCTCTCCTGTTAAAGATTTTGAAACTGAGCTTATTTTGACATGGGCATTTGGCTCTGATTGACTGTTGCGAGATGATTGAAAGCCTTTCCCAAGTTGATCTACCAACAAGTATGCTTAGTTACAATAAAGGACAGAACATCACTCAGGGGTTTCATTGCAGCAGTTGCTGCATGTTAAGCCAAAGGAAGAAAGATTGCAGGTGCAAAATCCTTTTTTTTTTATAGTGTGCTTCCAGAACTTCTTTTTTCTTTTTTAATATGACTAATCATGACAGCCAAGTGACAAGGGTATATAAGTCACCCCATTTTTTTCTTTTTCCACAAAGAGACAGCTAACATATTTGCATTTAGTTATTAATGGGAAATACTGTTTCTGTATGTTTCACCTGTTTCCAACCATGTGTGTTTGTCAGCCTTTTGAGGTAGGGCTGGTCAAGAAACTGGCACAGTAAGAATTTCAGGAATGCTGTTTACTGGAATCACTGCCCCCCTTTTAAGGATAAGAAAATCAAGGCAGGGCTGTTCTGAGTCTGTTTCTCACACTTTCTACTTTCCCAGGCCTGAGCAACTGTTCTCTTTCTCCTTCCTCTGTCTCAAGGCCAGAGCTAAATTCCTCTAGAGTGTTTCATTCATATATTACACGTTTACACATCTGGTCTGTGCACTTTTAAGCAACTTTTCCAATACCTCACCATGTTTGAAGAGAAAGGGGAGGGGGAGAGAGAGATCTCCACAATGGATTGAATCAATTCCTTTACTTATTCAGTCATGTGGATCGGAGCAAGTAAGATTTATCAGTGTCTTGTTGCAAAGAGATTATTTACTTAATAATTCTTCCTTACTTTATATTCAAGGCAGACATAAAATATTGTTATGAGTGAGTCTCACCCTTTCATGTACTGAGAAATTTCAGGGCTCCCAGTGCTTATACAGGGTTAGATTTCTTTAAGGGACAGTAGGCTTAAGACCTTCCTGTGATTTAAGGTTTATTTTTAGATAGATAGATAGATAGATAGATAGATAGATAGATAGATAGATAGATAGATAGATAGGGCATAGCATATGAGTTCACAACTCCAACATTCCAATAGATTTCTGTTTCCCAACATATTTCTGATGGACTGACTATACTCTGCGGAAAAGTTAGATCTCAGGCTCCCTTTTCAGACCTGCATCCAGCACAATCTGACAAAATTCCAGGTTCAGCTTCTGGGTTTCTAAGTAAGGGAGGAAAACTGTCTTTTAAAATAGATTGCAACCATTTCTTGAGAGAATCTGCCAGTCAGCTAATTTACACAATGGTTAGCAATCTGCCTAATATGTTTGTCCATTGTAGGATACCTTTTCACAACCACAGGAGCCAAGGATTAGGATGAAAATATAAAGTCTATTAGACCAACCTTGAAATGTTTATGCTGAAATGTTGTAATACCTACCACAAGTTCCTTTAAAAAGCATTAATTAGTAAACAACCCCTAACTCTCAACGATTGAAAATGCTGATAGCAGGGTTGCATCATTCTGGTTCATATGGTGAGCAATAGATTTCATTATCAAATTGCCAGCAGCAGACTTCAGTTAGAAAACACCTTAAGTGGCTGTGACCAATTACCACTGCCTTTCCTGGTGGTAAGTGGCATTATATCTCTGGAAGCACCCCAAGCTGTCTGAGCACCAATGTTCAACTCACCCACCTTCCCAGTATCAGAAAAGTAGATTGGGCAAGGGATAAGTTTTCATATCTTGCTGAGCTTATCACTAAGGCACCAATCTTATTATGGAAAGCTGATTTAACAAAATTGGGAGCTGATTATGGGTTTTGGTATCCCTTGTTGGAAAACTGCATTTAGCCAAGATGATTCTACAAAATGATGGATAAAGACTTATATAATTATTCAGATTATTTTCCCTTAAACCAACCTTTCCATTATGTGTTTTGGTACAATCAGGTGTCATTATGGGGGCATTATGTGGAATGCTCCTTCGCATGGCAGCTCCTATTAATCCCGATGTCGTCATGTTGATAGCCTTCCCAGGAGATATTTTGATGCGGATGTTGAAAATGTTGATCCTCCCTTTAATTATCTCAAGTTTAATCACAGGTGAGATATATTATGAACAATTGGAATCACATATGCTGTGATAAATAAAGCCCTATAGGATCATGCTGGCAGCTCTTCAGGATTTAATAATTTTTCCCTACAATTCAGTACTAGCATATCCCTGGTGTGGAAATTAATAATGCTAATCAAGTACTTTATACTTGTGTTTATAAAAATGGATGACACTGGTTCTAATGAACTTTGCTTTCTAGAACTGTGAGTCAGTGAATGGCAATTCATTAATAAGCTAAAATAGGATGTTACAGTTATAACTGTTAATTTTTTAGTACTATTCAGTGATGTTATTTCCCCACTCCCAAACACAGAGATTCCTTTTGAATTCAGTTATGGATGGCTCTTATGACACAGAACTATAGTGAAATTGCCTCTATTAACTTGAGATTATAGGAGGGCATTGTAACCTCAGGAGGACTACCGTATTTGGGCTACAAACATCTGGACGTCCACTGGATAGGAGCAAAGAGTTTGCATTTTCTATGTCTCTTTGTTGGTATCTAGTGATCATCTGAATGTTTGCAGCCCAGATATGGTAGTCCTACTTCAGGGCTACGATCAGACAAAGGATCTTGAATGGAAAATAGCTTATTGTAGAAAAAGAAGCTGTGTGAAGCAATGCTCTAAGTATATCTAAACTACAGAATTTAAGTCCACAGACCTGTAGACATTTATTCAGAAGTAATTCTCACTAAATGCAGTGAGACTGATTTCTGATGAATATACATAGGATTATTGGAAGCCATGGAGGATCAATGACTATTCATTTAATTTAACTGATCTATGTATATGTTCATCAATATACATCAATCAATTAAGATACCCTAGAAAGAGATTTACAGGTATCTAAAATGAATTATTGTATATATTTATCCATTATATTTTCCATGGAAAGTCTATATATGGCTTTCTGTTTCAAAATCATATATAGAAAAAAATAAGAAAATATATACCATTATAACATTGCTTGTAAAATATAAGACCAAAGAAAATGGCCAAAATCCAGCAATAAGAGGGAATATTTATTTGCAAAATGTTAAACATGAGAAGCAAGCTTAGTCATTATGCAGGATCTCAGTAATCAAGAAGATACCATTTGCGCATGAATTCTTCCCAATTCATTTCTTTTTACAGGGCTGTCTGGCCTGGATGCTAAGGCCAGTGGTCGATTAGGGACGAGAGCTATGGTTTACTATATGTCTACAACAATCATTGCTGCTGTCCTTGGAGTGATCTTGGTGTTAGCCATTCATCCTGGCAATCCAAAACTGAAGAAGCAGTTGGGTGAAGGAAAGAAGAATGATGAAGTATCAAGCCTTGATGCTTTCTTGGATCTTATTCGAAACTTGTTCCCTGAAAACCTTGTGCAAGCATGTTTTCAACAGGTGAATGCTAGCTGTGTTTCATACAGGAATATGCATGAAAACTATGAAAATAACCTTAAATGAAATAAGTAAAGCATAGAATCATCACTGCAAATACCATTTGTTTTTACCAATTTGATACCTTTATACTTAAAACATACCTTAATGATAACTGGCAAAGCTTCTGTTTGAACCTTTATTGGATGAGCTGCTCAGTCTGCAAAAATCATCTTTTTTTATTTATCCCTTCATTTCTGGTGAAAGCCGTTCAATTTCCTCTGGATTTTAATTAGTTTTATCTCCATGGGACCTTAAAAATCTGGACTAATTAGAGCCTACTATTTGGGTAAAAAATAAGGAAATACTTTAAACCACTGTGCTGGATACTTAGTTCATTAAAAGATTCTCTCTCAGGGGACATGAACACATTTGCCCAGTCTAATTGCAGTTAATACTCAAACTGCTTAACTTTGACATACTGTACATTTGATTCCATAAGAACATATACTTTTTCTGTTTTTAATCAGGAATTGGGATACCTTATAGTTCTTTGAACAATGATATTTGCAAAATCGGAAACATTAGTCTATTTATTTCAGTATACTTCAGGCTGTAGCTGTAGCTACTTTTTCATGAGCAAAGTATATTAATATGATTTTCTAAAGGTTATATGAACTGGCCTTTTGTTATATATGCTTTGTGCCCTACTCATCAGGAGATGCCCTTGGGTTTTTCCCTCCCACTCCTCAAGCTAATTTGTTTAGCAGTTACATGAATTATTTTGTAATGAAGTAGACAAGACCCATTGCCAACCCTTTTTTTCATGTTTTCCTAAAGGCGTCATTTAAAGAATTAAAACAGTATGTTATCTGACTTTGTAGCTCTAAGCTATACTGTCTGCCAACAGGGTAGGGAAGGGGCAGAACCATCAAGACACACAAACACAGGCAGGGGTATCAAAGTCAAGATGACAGCTGCAATGGGGCAATCGAAACTCCGCCTGGTTTTTATGTGTGTCGCACATAAAAAGCAATATTTTTCCCTTCCAGTACATTATATTTTATTGGAAGCTGAAAAAGGGGGACTAACAGGCTGAGCGGGAAGTTAAATATCAATGACACACGTTTCTTTTCTCATTTTTGAGTGATTATAATATTCAGGAGCATGATTTTCATATTCACAGTATCACCCAAAAAAGAATTACAGGAAAAGAGTAGAAGGAGTATGCATTTGAAATGCTAAACTGGTCTCTCCCTTTTCAGCTCATTGTATGTGACACAAAGTGACTCAACCATTTGGCTGCTGAAAAGCTGCATAATAAGATAATAGGCTGAGTGGGAAGTAAGACAAGCTGCTCCTTATACTGTATTAGCATTATCGCTCCTTTTTTAATTCTCTCGCTAGTCATAATGTTACATTATTCTTCCAAACAGTTCATTTCAACTGTTTCACTGCTTCACTGTTTTTCAGATTCCTTTTATTGATATTTTAACCCACCAGCATCTGAGCTTTGATGGATGGATTTGTATTCACACAGTCAATTCTCTAAGCATCAAACAATTTAAATTAAAGCAATAAATGAATTACATAAATTACATAAACCCTTAACAGTCATAACAATTAATGACAATAATGCAGAAAGCAAAACAAATCCAACCAAAAAAGAATGTGAGTCAATCCAAGAAAAGCTACCACATATAAGGCACTGCAAGTAGTTAAAATAGGAGACAAAAAAGTTATTTTGATTTGCATGACATAAAATAACCAATATTTCAAAACTGTAGAGGAACAGAAACTGGTATTAGAAAGAAAGCTAATTAAATTTTTGAGTAGGGAAGTATTCAGTAACGGCACTACAAAGAAAGTTCTCCTTTGCTCTGTTAAATGCTGTTGAGGGTTTTGAATGAGGGGGCATATGGAGAAAATGTTCAAAGGTCAATTCAAGACACACAAATAGCCACATGTGTGAGTGTCCTTCATCATAGTTGTGTATTTGAGCAGGTGCCATTTAGATACAGATCATTCCACCACCACTCCTCCCCCCATGTTTCCAACCAGATCTGCTGGTGATTTAGAAGTATCTTTGGATCTAGACCTGAGTTATCTTTACTAAACATTATCCACAACCAAAATCTGAAATAGTTTATTCCAATACCTTGCCAGACTATAAGTATCTATAGTCTATAAGACTATAAATTACTTAAAAGTTAGCCCTATCTAATTGTTTTCAGTGGAGTAAATAATAATAAGGAATATTGTAGCAACTCACTGTTGCATTTTGATCTCCATTCAGCTCTACAATTTTAACAGTTTAAAGATTACAGAAGCAAAATCATTTGCAATGAATATCATATTAATACACCTTTCTGTAATGGTTACTATATTAACTTGCTTACCTCTTTTATTATATGTTTTAAATGGACATACTTTTCTTGATCTGTTTCCTATTTGTAAAGGTGTAATCCAGTCTTTGTATCAGCAGACAACAGCATCTGTCAGGGCCTGGAAGCTAAGCAAGGTGGCTTGGGTTATTATTTGGATGGGAGACCTTCAGGGAATATCAGAGTTGTAGGCTAGAGTGGGAAATTGAAAGGCAATCTAAAAGAAGGCAGCAGTAAGCCACTTATGTACTGTTATCAGGAAAATGGCATGGTTGGATCCCCGGGGAAGAAACGGCAAACTGAAGATGGTTTCGCTTTCAGCGGAGCCAACAACTGCAGCAGAATGAGGAGCCAATGAATGGATCGGCCCCTCGAAATTCCTCCCTGGACAAAGGGGAGGACTTGGGATCACCCACAGGGCTCCTTACAGAGGCTCCCCATGACGAGACTGTAAAACTAGTCTCTGGCGGGTTTTAGAGCTCTGGGAGCTGGGAGAGTCAGCTTGCCCAAGCTGCAGTTCGAGCCTTCAAAGAGACACTGGGTTCACCCATTTCCTTTCTTAATCACTTCTGAAAATGGCTTGTAAATTGCTTTTTGGATACCAAGAATCTTCAGAAAGACAAGTTTTATTTCACTGGGTGATTTTCCTTCAATCCTGAACAAAAGAAGTTTCATGTAAGTTTAAGAACTTAACAATTTTTTTATTTGGAAATAAGCAGCAAAAGAGTGATTAGAACATTGATTTTGGAAAGTTATAAATGAACTAAGAAGCTAGATTGACTGGAAATAAGATCTGGAAATTAACTATAAGAATTCTTCCTGTGGTTTGTTTAAAATCGTATTAAAAATATATGAAGATCTTGAAGTTAAGTGTAAAAAATCTTTCCATGAGAAAATGGTGTGGATTAGAGAAAAACATGATAAAAGGAGATTTGAAGTCTGGTTAGTAGAGGCAACCAGAAAGAACTAAAGATTACAATTAAAGGAGAAGATCCACTAATACAGAATGGAGAAAAGTATTTTAACTCTGGAAGATTTCAAGGATATTTGGCAACAGTGTACTCAGAGCTTTCTCTTAAGATTATCTGATACTATTAAAATGGGTTTTAAAGAGGAGATAGAAGAGGATACAATTGAGAATCAGGCTGTTTTGGATATGATTTAAAAATAATAGAATACAAGAATGATATTGACAAAGATGCTACCCAGGACTTACAAATGAAACTGGCTGATGTTTTAATAGCTAAAAGGGACAGACAAATAATAAATCAGAAGAGTGACTTAGATGTGTGGATTTCAACTCTTCTGAGTGACTTGGACAACTTCCTTATTTTGGACTTAAAAAGAGATGTGTTACACTTTCGAAGGAGTTTTTGAGAAAAGATAGAGAGTGGAAAGAAATCAGCTTTTGGGACATTACTTAAAAGGAATATCAAGGCTTTTAACATCAAAAAGAAGGATTGTAAAGCCAATTTGTTCAATCAGGATTAAAATATATGATGCTTTTTCTACTAGTTGTTTTTAATGAATTTTTCTTGACCAAGACTGAATAACAAGGTCTTAAAGATTTGCTATTAGATAAGATATGGGAGAAGAGATTTTTTTTGTTGTATGATTAGAGAAAACATGGGTTATGATGTTAAAATTGAAAGGAAGTGTTAAATTTGTGAAGGAATTTCACAGAGGAGATGAAGAGAAAATGATAAGAAATTAATTTGTGGGATATTATTTGAAGGGTTTAA